TTTACTACGTGGGATTGGCCCGCTATCATAGCAGCTACAACTCAAACAGTCTGTGGTGTGGTGAAGTCGCACAGTGTATTTGATGAAGTTGGCGGTTCAGTGTGTCAAGATGCCACCAAAACATTCTCAAGTTTGGCAGTACTGAATCCCTGTGGCATCTAAGGGCATATTACACAACTGAATGCTTCCATTCACATGATGGGTATCAAATGGAGTAGAGAAACTAGAGACTGTCTTGCAATGGGATCACTCCAGCCGTGATAAAGGTGATCCACGACTTGAAACAAATGTGGGTCAGAGGTGTAAAGTGGAGGGGAATGATCCCTTTCCTACTTCCTACCCCCCTACATCCTCATCCCCCCCAACACCCACGTCCGAACTCTGCCTTCATTGTGATCTTAACTACACACCTGTAAAGTTTGCATGGCTTTAACACTATCAGGTTGACAAAATTTGATGACGACGACACATGCACTCACACACACACACCCACGAGGTGACAACAATGCCAACCATAACAACATTATTGTGGCTGGAAAAAAAGGTATCAAATAAAGTACTTTATTGTTATCAGTATCACTTTAAGGGCACTGGTATCATGATTTTTTAAAAGATACTCTGCCCTAAAGATTCCGTACATTTTGGTTTAACTTATTATTAAGACAAGGAACTCTTGCTATGGCAACCCACAGTATGATATACCTTGCACACCAATGTAAAGTGTGCAAGTATTCCTTGTTCACTTCTTCACTACTCCTCACATAACAGACACTCACATGACCGTAATATCTGGATCCATCAAATGTGGTGCATTGCATTGTGGGATTGTTTGCAAAAACATGGTCTACATGCCATGGTCGCTCATCGTGCATTCCTGCTTAGAGTTTGTGCAGCTTGATTTAATTTGTGATTTGGAACCAGATGTGAGCTGAACAACACAGAAGCACACTTTAGTGATCATATCACCTAAAGACTAATCCTGGGCTGCTTTTCATGTACACAATGTAAAGTAATGGGATAATGAAAAACTAGAAACGTAAGTAGTAATGGTAGTCTGTACAAAGATCTTTAAAGGGGCAAAAAGCGAAATCGTTTCAGGTTTGCTGTTGTGCACTGCCTGTAGACCAAAACAAAGTGTGTCATGAGCCACTCCTCCCTCTACCTCTGCTCTCCATTCCCCACCCCCCTCGCCTCATCTGTGCAGCCAAGCACCGCAGCATCTCCACAGACTATTACATCCAGACGGTCCCGGTGTTTCTTCTACAGGCTCCACTTCACTCAGCTGCCCGATATACCCACTGCTTCTTCCCACATTAACCTGAATAACAAACCAGGGCTTGGTGCTACAGTTGGATCCAAACGGAGAGCTGGGGCTAACGTTAGCTGGGAAGCTAGCTGAGGCTAACTGGCTGTGCTGGCAGCTGAGTGAAGTGGAGCCTGAGGAGGAAGCACCGGTTAGCCCCAGTTTCACTACAGGCAGATTCACTCGCCACAGGGGCGAGGAAATAAAACCTAAACAGCCAACTTATTTTGGCCAGAGATATTGGATAAAGCGAGATACCCCACTCAGCTCACTTCCTGATTCAGTGACATCAGCGCCACGCCCCCGTAAGAGACTTGCGGCAGCTCTGAATGTATTGTCGTCAATGAGGAAAATGAACGTGATCACAATTTATGTTCAATTCTTTCGCCCTATAGTCACTAAAGTAAATATATAATATAATATTGGGTTCATTTTCCACAAGGGGAGGGAGAACAGGCTCTGATTGGAGGGAGAGCTAACCACGCCCACTTAGGAGACAGGAAGAGTAACCGTTTTCTTAACATTGGATAACCCTATGGTGGGGTATCTCCTTTATCCAGTATCTCTGGTTTGGCTTAGTTTAGCAGTTAGCGATGTCTTTCACTCACTCTCAGTCTCTGCTGTGTTTAGCTATTTCCCTGCTTTCCTGTTAGCGTTAGCACTAGTCGGCTGCCACGCTAACGTTCCTACTCTTCTCCGTGAGCCCGTGAGCCCGCGGCTCATAGCTCCGGCTCACGCAGAGTAGGGACATTAGCGTTAGCTCCTGGAGTTAGCACTAGAGCTACTACGGCTACTGGAGTAACTTACAGTTATGGAGCGCTTCTACCAGCTCTTCTAGTCACTGAGCCTCGTCTCCATCTCAGCAAATATATTACATTTATTACAGGTACCATCATCATTGAAGTAGGCAGGGAAATAGCTAAACACAGCCCGCCGCCAGGCTGCTGCCCGCCAGGCTGCTGCCCGCCAGGCTACATTTTACAATGCTAATTGCAAATGTTAGCTGGGCTGCCGGGCTACTCACCTAACACAACCGTAACACCTGACTCATTGCTGGGACAGAGCCGCTAATAACTCAAGCTCCGGACATTAACACATGCTACGATTGTAACATTAAATTTAATTCAATCGACGTAGCGAAGTGTGCCTAATGTTACTGTAACACTAATTAAAACAGACATTTGACTCCGCCATTTCACTTCGAAAATACGCGCTGCCATTGCTCACTGGCCGTAGCTTTTTATAGGGAGGGAGGGCCAAGGGCTCCGAGAGGGCGGGGGGGGGGGTGGGGAGTCACATGAACGTACATGAACGCGCAGCCGGACCAGCTTGTAAACAAGGGGCTGGAGATCAACACAGAGAGAGGGTGTGTGAGGTCATGCTATACTCCAGATGAAATTACACCTCTAGTTCTTCACATAGCAATTTTTTAATTCCTTCAATCTAGAAATGATGAATTTCGCTTATTGCCCCTTTAAGTTAGGTGAAAGTACCAATGACACAGTTTAAAAATACTCTTAAAGGTAAAAGCCATGCCTTCAAATTTTTACTTAAGTATTAGCATCAAAATACTTACAAAAAGTAAAATTTTACAGAATGGCCATTTCAGAATAATGTAGTGTATTACATTGATGCATGTTGCAGCTGTTAAAGGTGGGGCATACTGCTGGGCAACCTGTGAATGTGTCCCAGCCCAGGAACCAATTGTCATATCTTAACCCGTTTTATTGAGTAATTCATTATTTGTTTATTATATAGTCTGCTAAGCAATATAAGTCACTTTGCTTCTGACTTGTAGTGGAGTAGAAGTATAATGTAAAAGAAAATGGGAATTTCCAAGTAAAGCACAAGTTCCTCAAAGCTGTACTTCAGCGCAGTACTTAAGTAAATGGAATCACTTTCAGAGTGATTTGATCAATGATATCAGTTCATCAATATCCATTTTACTAAGCTGCCATCTCAGCTGGAGCAAGTAGCATGTGCATGGTGCTTCTGTTGACACAATGTTCTTATTCATGAGTCTGAATGCTCATATGGTTATCATTATCGTTCTTAGTGTAGATGGCCCTTAAGACACTGAGCGCATTTCTGGATTCACATCTTGACATCCTACGTTCACAATAAAACTCATAGGCATCTAATACGGTTTCTCAAATAGTAAACCCTCTATACACCCACACAGTCCTGTTTCACTGCCATCAGGCCTGTTCCTGTGTGACATCATTTATGAATTGTTTGTGCTGGTACGTATTTATTTCACTGTACAGTTAAACTCTGATACATGGTGGTATTCTCTGTAACAGTAATATTATGTAAATAGAAGTATAAGGGTTTGAAGCAATATATACAATATCCAATACAATACTACAAACAATGTAGTTTTGTCATTGGGAAAAAATCTATACCATACACATGTAATGTTAAGTAGACACAAGGAGTGATTTTGTGATAAAATGTTTACTTTCAGGGTGTACCTTCCTCCCAGCAACCTGTGTCACCTACAGTGTATGTCACTCCAGCTTGAGATCAACTCCACTTCCCAGATCGTTTTGCCACAAACCAAATTAAAAGTTACTGCTGTATTCAAACTGGCTGCATTAAGATCCTGTGTGCTAAAACAATTGTTTGACCATCACAATCCACTGCAGTTTCACAGAAATGTGTTGATTAAATTGTAAACTTTTCACTGTAAAAACACTGCAAACAGAAAAAACTGACCCGGAAATTAAAAGAACTATCACCAACTTAAACGACAGTGTGAATTTTAGACTCAATCTAAAGCAACATCTGACGAGCATGAAAATAAACCATGTGGCAACATAGTTTTCACTTCTGCTGCATTCAAGTGTTTCTTTTTTTTTACTTGCCAGTAACTCGATCCTAACAACAACATTACACAGTGTGCTACAATAACTTTCATTCGACAACATTTAAGATACTTTAATCATTCTGAATTGTCTGTTAAACGGCAGGTACCATGCGGCAAAGTAAAACCTGTACTGTAAATACATTCTGTTTCATCATAGGTGCGTATGGAGCAAGGAGGCACAAGAAGTTTGCTTTCATCTGCTGTATTGCACTAAACTAAAACAGAGAATATTTTAAACAATACAAGACAATCACCACTAACCTAAAGTATCATGGCATTCAACATCATTTGCCAGGTGTTAATGTATTGCCTTTGGCTTTTTTAAGTGGTTAAAAAAAAAAGATTCCCACCTCCAGCTGCAACTCTAAGACAAACTCAAATACAGTAGTTCTTCTGTTGTATAAAAATCTCTGAATTTAAGAAAAACAAAAAAGTCATAAAAAGACAGGTATGAGGGGATTTTCTCAGTGCAGGGTAGGTTTTAAGTTAAACACTGCCAAATGAGAGAAGTAGAAAATCTATTAAAGCACACATAGACATGCACCTTTACAACACAACAAACTTAATATGACTTTCATTCATGCTTTCAGCTACAAAGACAAGGCAACGGTCCTGATTTAATTCAGGCACTTCAGATAGCACATGTGACATGGGATACACAATAAGTAAGAAGGAGAAAGGCAATGGCTGTGTAAAAGATACACAGAGAAAAAACCGAGTAAAGGGTGAGATAGACAGACAGATAGTGGGAAAAAGATATAAATGGAGAAGGAGAAGTAGAGAAGAACAAAAACAATATGTATCTGATATATAATCTGTCATAACTCACCATTCTTCAGTCGCGATGCAGGTAGAGACATCAGCTAAGAGCCCAATCACTGTAAACCAGGAACCAATCTGCAGGCCGGAGACAGCAGACGTTTAAATACACTTTAATGACATGTAATTATGAACAATTTAATCATTTTAACTTCAAGAAGGAGTGCTACTAATTTACAGCATCGCAGTCGCACCTAACATAACTACAGTCTGTCTCTTAAGGCTGTCGAACAAATAACCAGTTATTGCTTTGACTACATCTCAGGTGAGCTGGGTAAGTGCTTTTATAGGCGTCATGCAGCATCTGTTAATCATATTTCATTACTCTTCTTCTGAGTCAACAAGTTATGGCTAAGTTCAGTTTGCACAAATAGAAATTTACTGTTATTTCAAATGGTCGGACCTGGAATAATCCACCACAGCAGTCTGCCCAGGTGCCACTCAGGTAATAATCCAGCAGATCCATGCAGGTAAACGCTGAGTGTCCCTCAGCTGTCAGGTGCTCCACTCCAAGACGTCCACGCAGAGGGACAGAGTATGAAAACAGTCAGCTTCCTGCCCCTCGTAATTCTTCAGCACAATGATCCCTGCAGGATGTTTCATGTCCTCCTCTGCATCTTCATCTCTCCTCCACACTCCTCCACAGAACTGTCGCACCTCTTGAATGTAGGGCTGGCCAGACGCACCTGCAACAGGACAACAGGTAAGAGGGATTCAGCAGCCTTCAGTGCCGGGGAAACCATTCTTTCATCCCTCTTCTCTCCTCAGCATCGACAACTCTGTCTGTTCCTCGGAGTGTCTCTGCCAAGAGTAGCCGGGCACAGCCGTCCTGTTTTGCCGCTCTTTGCCAAACACACAAACACACACACATACACGCACATACACAGAGGAGAGTGTTGTGGGTTTTTTTTTTTTTCAGCAGCCGAGCTAACCCTGAGCCGGGGCCCGGTCTGCCTTTGAGATGCTCTCTAGCCCACAAACACAAGACGGCTTTCATTATCTTGCCCGTCGCAGCGCAAGGCCTAGCTTCTAAAAGCTACTGATTTCTTTCTTCCCTTAGCCCCCTGCACAAAGGGAGGGCATTTTGTAAATTACTTGCTCGTTTCAGACCAACAAAAGGTACTTTCATTGAACCCCCCCCCCCCCCCCACTGCTCTCCTTCTATCCTCCCGCCATTTGATTTTGCTCAAATTTGATTACAAGGCTTGAAAAAGGAGGGGAAGAAAAGAGAAGAGGAAATAAGAAAGCCCCACAGATGGCGTGTTCATTCAGTGCTGTGAATGGCTTTATATGGGCTGCCTTTATACATGTGGCAATCCAAAGACGCTTCAGCCGCTCCGCTAAAAAAAGAACTTGACAAAATTATTGGTTTGGCGGCTTTCTTACACGACTGACACGGGGAACTCTGAGAAAGAAAAGCCTGCCTTCTCTTTCTTTCTTCCGCTCTCCTTGTCTCTGCACCTCACACTCTCGCTGGGTCGTACACCTTAATCAAAACAAACTAAATGAGGTGTTTGACTGTGAGAGAAAGAGTTTGTTGTGAGTGTGTGTTGTCATATTAATAACCACCTGCCCTGGCTCTACACTAGGCCACATTCCAAGACGACAAAGTCACATATTCAGCAAAACGGACAGGAAGGAATTTAATAAAACGAAACACATTCTGAAATCTAGATTTGATAATACACATGCACACACCTACACACACACACACACACACACACACACTCACACACACATCCAGCTCAAATCAAACAGCTCAACTCAACTCAAAAACATTAGCCAACACAAAGCGCAGAGCATTCTGTTCTCTCACAGGCTATAATCCTGTTTCTACAATGGACCACTCACTCTGCACTTGTTTTGCTCAGGAGGATAATTATAGGTCTGTACACACACACACACACACACACAGCTTTAGAGCTCTCTTGCTTTCTTGCAAACACACACTCACACTCATTTGCAGCAGAGGGGTAGCCAGTGCAGAGTGAACTATGACTTGTTATCCCATTACCAGATCATCACACTCTACAGAATGTAGGATGAAGTGATGGTCTGATGGTCTGGGACCTGGCAGGGCCACTCTGGGTCAGACAGCCTAATAGACGGGAGTCAGTTAATTCCTGGATCCGTTGACCAGCCAACAGAGTCCAGGTCATGGGCTGTGTCATTCCATCAGTGTGTTGAAACCACCTTAGTAACCATCACTGAGGTCAAGCAGCCCAAACAATGTTTTTCACAGGCAGAAGTCTTTAAATTGTACTGCAGCCATATCTTTGTCTTTCTGATACAGCTGCTGAACTGATCTATGACTCAGAAATGAATAGTTGAGATTATACCGACAAGCCACTTGCAGTGCATAGAGTGAGGGAGCTGTATCTTAACATGGCTAAACCTGTGTACCATATGGAATATGTCAAGTTTATCTGAGCTGTAAATGAAGTCATTTACAGAATACCTGCACTAGGAGTCTACAGCTATGATAGCTGCTCTGTGAGGCTGTACCATCGACTGTAGATAAAATGGATGCCACATCTCCTCCTCCTCCCACTGTACAAAAATGAAGTCAAAGTAACCTGGATATGGCCATTGCCATCTTATGCTGGTGACATCATTTGTAGTCAGAATCGGCAATCTCCCGGCATCTGCCAACACACTGGTCTGGCCAATCACGAGCAGCACACAGGGCTGTCAATCATGATGTCATACCTCCTTTTTATCACAGCAAATAACTAATTGAAACCAAACTTATCAGAAAAACAAACACATAAACACACATCGATGTGATAAGAAGTGCCTAAAGAGTTTTTAGTTTGACCCATGTCTCATCAGCTATCATGGAGGGGGCAGGCTTTCAGTGTTCATTTTGGCAGCTATTTAGATTTAGTCTTAGTCTTGAGACGAAAATGCTTATTTTATTTTATAACTTTTATGTTTTCTATATCTTTCATTTATCTTTGAACTAATACAGTTAGGCTAATTCATCAGAAATTAGAATCAAGGTGACAGGTTGTATAAATATTTCATTAAGACATTTTTTTTCTACAACTACAAATAATTTCAACACACTTAGAAACATTCAGTCATTTTTCTTCAGCAGTTTTTGACAGGTTTAAGGGGTGATTTGTGAGTGCACACTTACTGATCATCATTTGAAAGGCTCAACATCTCTCATTTATGTACTCAAAAACTTTGACACCACAAATAAATAATCTCAGACAACTAGGCTTTTTAGGTTCATTGTAAACTCTGACTTGTCAATCTCAATGTTAAGAACAAAAAAATAACTTGACGAAAGCCTGAATTCTCTCTTAATCTGCAACATAATCGTCTGGAAGTTTAAACTCTCAAAGAGTTGATGATTAAAGTTAAATTGTCAGCTGTCAGAAAACTGATCTGAATTCAGATTGTTCACATACTGCACTGCCACAGATAACTGAGCATTCTGCCTGCCTATCAAACAGCTATCAACCCATAAACCTTCCCCAGACAGTCTGGATCTGAGACCAGCAGCTGGTGGCTGCTTGCTCTGCTGCCAGTCAGTGGCAAACAAGAGGAGCTAACTGCAAACAGCCACCGCTTTAACTAACCAGCTCAAAAAATCTTTAACATTCAATGTATGCTGACATTTTGCCGCATTAAAACAGAACAAAACAATAAACAAAACAAAAACAAATAACAAAACAAAAAGTAGGGCTGCAACCCAAGATTACTTTATTGTTTTTAAGTCCTGTCAATATGCTTCCTGATGATTACTCAGCCGATCAATCCACTAAATGTCAGAAAATACTGAAAAATATTAAATCCATCCAGCCCACTGTCACAGAGGACTGAGCAACCAGAAAATATTCAGATTCCAGAAATTAGGACTACAGAACTTCACCTTTTCAAAAAAGTAGTACTCAAACTGACCAGTCAATCAACAAAACAATAGCCATTAATTCAACAGTTAATAGCCAGTCAATTAAATGTTACAGCTCTAAAAAACAAAAACAAACAAATACAAACTCAAAAACAATTTGCTCCTCATCTTTTAACGAAAGGTAATCTATACTAGATGGTGTATTTTAATTGCAGCAGATACAAAACATGACAAGTATATAGAAGAGAAATAAAAATTACAAAAGATTGGGAACTGCATTGTCCACTCAAATTAGTAAGCTTGATCATCTATCTGTTAGTCCTTAACATAACTAATGAAGGGTCTCCATATATTATCAAATATGTGCTGTTTAGCCTTCAATATGTAGGTTATCCTCTCTGTTAGCATGCCCGACCGGCCAAGGAGGCAATAAGGAGAAGTACAAACGACTGACGATCCCAAGACATATTTATTTCCAACAATACTATTCACCATTCACCCACATCAACACAGACACTTTCAGACTGACTCCTTATATACAAAATGTCTTTCAGGTAATGAGCTGGACTAAACCATTTGTCAGGAAAAATCATAAACATACATATACACATATAGCAAATATTTACACAAACCCATTACCAGAAAATATACACAATCTTAATAAATATTTACACACCCCCAAAATAAACCTAACAAATACACATATATATATATATTACAACAATTAAATATATATATATACAACACCGTGCAACTCCCCTCTAACCATTTCCCACTTGCTATACCCCCTCCTGGAACTAATAAAAGGTGCGCATGCCCCCGGGGAATTCTTTTGCCACCTTGGGAGACTAGAGAACAGGCAGAGGTAAATTCACGCTAAAATCAATAAATATGTTCATAAACATTTCTTTGTGTGTTTCTTTCTGTACAATAATATATATATGGCAAATATGTGAATCATTAACATATACGTTTAACATAACAATAACGCTAATAACTCGGCCAGAGAGTAAGTAACGGCAGCTCGTCGTCACGCTCTCTAATGGGAGGTTTGATAGCATTTGTCTCATCCATTGAACAGTGCTTGGTCTGTGAATATTTTTCCATAACTGTGCAATAAATTTTTTGGCATACAGCGAGCTGAGGTCTATAAACGCTCGTTCATTTGTACTATAATTATGTTTCTTTGGATATGAGCCCAACAAAATAAGTTTAGGATCCAGTAAAATTTGTTTTGAAATTATCTTCTCGATTATAACTCTTAACTCTTCCCAGAATATTTTAATCTTTGTGCATTGCCAAATACAATGAAACAATGTCCCTCTGACTTTTGTGCATATGTCTGGTATGTTTTTGTTATATCGATTTAATTCCACCGGTGTTACATATGTCTTCATTAACCATTTATACTGTATTAGTTTTAGGTGCAAAACCACAACATACACTTCACCGTATGTTGACAAAGTGCAGACTTTCCTCTGTTTGGTTGCTAATGAAAGGACTCAGTAAGTGCCACATTTCATATGATGTTGCAGCAGTTTCCCATGACACTGCCAGGACAATTAGCTGAGAATCCTGCCTACAATGAGAGGATGCTATCCGCAATGGAAAACAAAACAGAGAAAAGGGCCAGGTACCAAAAGTGAGGTGAATCCATCCTAACTATGCAGTGGAAATGATGCATTACTTTACTGTGTTAGTATGTTATTATGTCTAATTAGTAGCTAACATTTAGTACAACTGAGGCCCATTGTAAGGTCAAATAATTTGCAGGTATTTGGTTAGAAACCAAAAACTTGGACAAACGGACAAAAAGTCAGGAGG